ACATTGATGAAAATAAAGGTTTGAATCATAGAGAGCATCTGAAAAACTCTTCCAGCAGCCAAGATACATTTGGAGTGATCTGTTCAACAATGGGGAGATTTTAGGAGGTGTAGCATTCAGAAGAGGTGACACTAGAGAATGATAAAAATGATTCTCGCTAGCCATAAGTTGAAAAGAATCCACTTGCATGTGTTCTAATTGAACAACCTGATCATTGCTCAAAAAATTATTATCGCTAGCGATTACAAGATCAGAAATCTCACTCACTTGAGTTTCAAGTGCGTCCAATGGCGCCTGTTGAGGATCACAAATAGGCTCCACATGAGGCGTGGGCAACAATTCAGTTGACGTTATAATCTCATCCTCTAGATTAGAAGGAGTAGCTTCTATTTTCATTAACTTGCTTGCTTCTTCCATTTGCCCGTGTTTCTCCTTGAACCGCTCTAGCATCTGCTTAATATTAGCTATTACTGCATCTAGATGTTGGTCGCTTTCAGCTTGTGCTTTACAATATTTAGCTTCAAGCTTGAGTTGTTCTTCATATTCTTCTTCAACTCTGCAGTGCCTTTCAGCTCTCGTGTAAGCTTCTTTAACTTCTTATTGTTCAATGCAGCCATAATGATCAATATATTGATTTTGTCTATAATACACATCATTATAACATCGAACACCATATCTATGTTGTTTACCATTAGTGAACTTAGTAATGTTCGTCATCTTTATACCATTGTGAGCTCACATTGTATTGTTGACGCTGGGTGCAGTACTTTCTTCGACACCGACTATTGAAGCATCTTCTAGGATGCATATCTAAAGCCTAGTAATGGCAATGTGGTTCTTTACCTTTTTTTTATTCTATTCCTTCTCTCTCTCTATTTTTTTTGGGGTACTTTTTCCTTCTTTTTCTTTTCTTGTTTTCCTATTTCTTTCTATCTCTCTTATTTTTTTGCCTCTTTTTTTTTTCCCTTTTTCCCCCTTTTTTTAGACTGTAAAATAAAATCAAGAAATTAAATAAATAACTTTCCTAAAAAAGTTGCAGCAAATAGTAAAATAACGACAACAGTTAAGAAAGTAGCCTCCAAAATATGCCAAATAGTATAGTAATCTACGATGCAGCTTAAAGAGACTGAAAAAGAAAATTTACCTCAATGGTACTTTTATGATTCTCCTTGATTTCTGGGCAGGCTAAATTGAAGAACCATTAAATATGGGTTTGAAAGTATAATTTTGCACAAGAACTGGGGCTAAAATTGTAGTTTCTCCAAAAATTGAGTCTAAAGGTGTAAATTTTGTGAAAACCCAATCTAGAACGATAGTAGTGCGAAGGCACTGGGAGCCACACTCAAAGCTTCTAGCCCCGCATGAGGGTGCGCGATGGATCAAATGACAGCAAACTTTAGGGATCAGATCGTGTTTGAGTATACGGTCCTATTGGAAGTGGTGTCATTGCGAACAGAGGTCAGTGGCATTGTGAATGACGCTGGGAAGTAGTGGTGACGCTAGTTTTGGACAGTGAGAACATTGGCAGTGCATGGTGGCAAGTATGAGGGCTGATGGACGTGAAAATTGAGGACGGCGAAGATGATTACGGTGGAGGTGTGGTGAAAGAACACCAGAAAGTAGGTAAACAGAGGAAGGATGCGGTGGGTGTGGGGTTTTAGTTCAAGGGCACATTTGGTAAGTCAGAAAAAAAAAATTGTAGGCGTGTAGGATACACACAACTAGGCTCTAATACCAAAATTGATGTAAAACAAAAGAGAAAAGACAAGAAATAGAGAAGCAAAAAAAGAAGAAGAAGAAGGAAGGAACCATATTGCCATGTTACTCAGCTCTAGAGATGGATCTCAAAGGATGCTTCTGTAGATAGTGTCGAAGAAAGTATGGCACTCGGCGCTGACAATATAATGTGAGCTCCCGATGGTATAAAGATGACGAGTACTACTATGAGTTCACTAATGGTGGACAATATAGATATGGTGTTCAATGTTACAATGATGTGTATTATGGACAAAATGAATATTTTGATAATTGTGGGTGCATTGAACAACAAGAAGTTGAAGAAGCTTAATTAATTAATATTTTCTGAGATTGTTGGTTGTATTTCTTAATTTGGAATTGAATTTTCTATGATTGGATTTGGATTATGCAGTTTGAAATTTATGTGTGTGTGTGTTTACTGTTCAAGTTTTATGTGGTTGTAAAGTTCTTTGGTAGTTTGGATGAATTGTATGACTGTATTTTGCTTGTTAAGTATCTCAAGTTAAGTGTTCTTTACATAGAGAATCAAATTGCATTAATCTGAGCTTAATTGCATGCTTATCAATTTCTAATGATGTTCTTAATTGATGGTTGTTAACTAGAGTACTAGGACAACCATTGACTAAGAATGCTAGATTTAACCAATGACCAAGGTTTGTTTTTAATTTAGTAAACAATTAACTCTCAAACCATTTTGAGTAAGGATAACCCAATTTTTATTTTTCAAGAGGCATTCACTCTTTTTTTTTTTTCCACAAAACCAAATTTTTATTGCTTGTCATCTTTTAATCTAGCTCATTTCTTTTAATTTCAATTTTACTTCACTTTTTCACTCTTTTTATATAAAAGAAAATCTACAAAAAGTATTTAGAAAAGTTTTCAATCTAATCTGCAAGGTAGCTTTCATATTAAAAAAAATCAACAAAATCCCTCTTTTATTTAGTAATTTTGATTTTAATTTACTTAGGATCTAATTTTTGGTTCTAATAAGAGAGCGACTTTGGTTTGTATCACTATAGTGCACTTTAAATTGAATTTAATTTGACCCCCAAGACGACATGAGGATCATGATGCTTTTGTAGTTAATTATTTTTTAAATTTGCTAAATTTGTTTTTCTTTAGCAATTTTGATTCATGATACCATGCATTTTGTTTAAAATTTCATGGCAAACAGATATCCTTTAGATTCCTGTATTGGATTCAAAAGTTTTACTCTGAAAGAGCTCTATTTGTCAGGTTGAGATTATTATTGTTGTTTTGTTGGTGATAATTGTTGATTTGACACTTATTAGTTGGTTGATTGGAGAATGATAAAAACCATTTGGGATTGCTTATATTTAAAAGAAAATTCTACCGAAATTTTTTAAAATAAAAAGCAGTCCTTTTAATTTGTAATTAAGTATTAGTCAAATATAGTTGTTGACTAATACTTAATTATTTTATCTATTTGATTCAAATAACATAACATTTGAATTAAATAATTAGAAGTAAGATTGATAATATGTTCCTTGACTATGTAGAACAATAAATTATAATTGGATGAAAACTAAGAGAATTAATAAAAAAAATATAAAAATGATGTTGAAAATTGTGCCTAATAAAAGTGATAGGTTATACTATTGTCTTTATGTCAAGTGTTTAAACAATAGCCGACAGAGTATTCTTAAGATAAGAAAGCATTTCATCTATGATTGGATAAATTTGAAATACACAAATTAGATATAACATAGCAAAATTAGAAAAACTTATTTGTTTGGAGAAGAAAAAGTTATGAATGATAACTTTAGTGATAAAATAATTCCAGATATGTTCTGTGATATTAGAGCCGAATCCTTTACCCAGTTCAACACAGGAAAGTTGTATGCGAATTAAGCACAAATATATATAAAAAGATAGCAACTTTCTACGGTGTGAACAAAGACTTTGCACAGTGATTATACTATTAACCGCTGTGGTATAACCGTTGTGGAAAGTCCTCCATAAACTACATTATGGATGGCTTTTCAATGGTAGCTTTTTACTAGCAATTGTTGTGGGAAGTTGTTTTCACGATGGTTAATAAACCACTGTGAAAGCCTCTTTTTATAACATCAACAGCATATATGTTGCCTCTAAAATTACCGTTAAAAGTTTTTTTTAATCACCATAAAAAGCCTTTTATGGCAGTAATAAGGATCTATGAGCTTACATAAATAAATCAAATATGAAGAGATAATTATCTATATTTTCATGTGATGCCACAATTTTTGTCCAAGCTCTCTTACTTGAACTTCCCGCCACTTGTCATTTTCCTCTAAGGAAACTACATGATTTTTATGCCTTGTACGGCGAGGTGTATAGAAATCATGTCCTTTCCTTCCCGTCATTTTAAATGGCATCCAATGGAAAAAGTCGGATTTGCATTGGGTGCTCATCAATTTTGATGAACACCCAATGCTCATCAGATCTGGACCGTCCAGATTAGATCTGGACGGTCCAGATTTAATTTTAATTTTAATTTTATTTTTTTAAGATAATTATTTTAATAGGTATAGGAGAAAAAATAAAGATAATCTCTTAACTATCATTCTTTAAAAATATAATTTTTTTATTTTTAAATAATTATTTAAAAATATTAAATCTAGACCGTCCAAATTAGATTTGGACGGCCCAGATTGCTCATCAGGTGATGAGTCCCCTCGAAGAATCTATAATCTCCCTATGTCTAATGGGGTGCTACCAGGTTTCTAAGAAAATGCCTAGTTTAACTTAAAATTCATATTTAAATTCAATATTAAATTCATACTATATATATATTAGGATAAGTATGTCCTAATTTAAATAGGAAATCTTCTTTCCATTCGAAATAGAAAATCTTCTAGAGAATTATTTTTAATTAACCAGAAGAAAATCGTCCTATATATTACAAGCAGGAAAGTCTCTAGATCTTATCCCATATATAATAAATTAGATAATATTTTTTTCCTAAGGTCATAATTGGAATCCTACTAAAATATTCTACTCTATTTAAAATGTGTTTTAAGTTATTTCCATGATAAACATATGTAAATACTATCAATTTTTTTGGAATACATATCATAAGAAGGATTAGATATCCCATAAAATGTTTTCCTAATTATTAAATACACATGGATCAGCCTTTTCTTCTGACTATGAAACGTACTATAGTAACATTGCAAACAGACACAACAAAAGGTAGTATGATATGAAGATTTATTATTTAACCACAAGAGCACTCAAAATCAGTTGGAGGCACCACAACAGCTTGAAGATTTGAGGAAAGAAGCGCTCTTTGCTGTGATCTCATGCACTGGCTTGTTTGTATACCTCATGATGTTGTATACCCATGCCCCTGCTATTGCTCCCCCCACTGGTGCTATCATATACACCCATATTCCTCTATACTCGTGCCACACAATTGCTGGCCCTAGGCTTCTCGCCGGGTTCATTGACGATCCTGTTACCGGCCTATCATACAATTACTAACGTGAATATCATTTATACACTACAAAAAAGTTGAATTTTAACGGTAATTAAAAATTTAAAAAATCATCATTGAAAGTGTGGACTGGCCCAAATTTTTTTTCTTTTATATAGTGACAGCAGGTCAATGATAAATGTCAAGTAAAATTTAACAATTGGATTATAATAATTCTATAGAGTGCTAGAAATATATTAAAAATTTAGAAATGTGATTTGAGATAAATAAATAAATAAAATATATATATATATATATATATATATATATAGTCTCGAGTTCATTGACATATCATTTCAAATTCTAATGAAATGATATAATTTAAGTTTCCGTAGATTTTGTCCCTTGTTTTGACATTAAAATGTGGTTCCACAATTATCACCCAAAAAAAAAAGTGGTTCCACAATCATAAAGCTAATATTATAAAGCTAATATTATAAGTCTACTCATATATATTTTTTCTTAAAATTTTAATTTGATACAAAAGTTGAATAAATCTTTTCCAACACGTAAAGTTTATTTATGGGCCAATTAGATTCTCTGGTCAAATATTGCTCTCTTAATTTGAAGAGAAATACGAGATTGTATGGATTACTTGAAGTGTTAGATCTAAGGTTAATACCCGGCGGACAACACAATAAGCATTACGGTTGCCCCTACGACAATCCCAGCCAGCTCACCAATCTGCAAAAAATGAAAAAAAAAACATATAAAAATCCATTAGATCAATCCCAAAAAAAATGATTATTTTGATATGCTTCTTATGCAACCTTCAACTTCAAGCATTTCCCCAAGTGATTCAAAGAAAAAGTTATGTTATCAACACAACTATAACATTTCCATATCAATATCAATTCAAAATATAAAAACCATAACAAGTCCAATTATTCATGGATGTTAGGTAGCTCAAAGGCCTTGTGATTTTGTGGCATGGATGCCAACTCCTCTATAACTGTCAGGTCACCGGTTCTATCTTATTTGTAATCTTGAAATATTAGTGCCTATCGCTCTATTTTTTTTTTTTATATAAAACAAATAAGTAGACTCACCATGATTAGCCAATGAACTTCATTGACTAAGCTATCTCTAAATGAAGATAACAAAAAGAAACTGGAAATGGAAATTACCGCTCTGCCATCAGTTGCCACACCAGAGATGACAAACATGAGGTAGAAGGTGATTAAGAATTCAACCACAAAGCCCTGAAGATACGACCCAGATAATAATGTTCCTATGAATTGGTCATGTTTTCCTGTGAAGACCAGTCTGAGAGTCACACTTGCAAGAGTGGATCCTAAAACCTGAATTAATATATAAGCTGGCACCTGCAACAACGGCACGAATCAGATCAATCATGGCTAAATTACATAAAACACTCCTGAACTTTAAACCTTTGAAATTTAATACTCCGGTCCTTAATATAGGACCTAATTATATTGTTGAGTTGATTTTAATATTAAATATAAGACATATTTCTCATATTTATTAGTTTTTCCTAAATTATCTTTATGGATACTCCAGCGACTATAATCAAGTAGAAGAGGGAAGGAGGATATTAAAAAAGATGATTATAGTGTTTTAGAAAAAACATGTCATATTTCTTATAATTAACTAACTTACCTAACTTTTTTAATCTAATTAAATTAGTTAAATAGGTATTATATTAAGGACTCAAGAAATAATAAACTTCTCATAGCTTTCAAATCTTTGCGGATAAAGCCGAATTGTCAATTATATACTCCCTTAAACTTTTATATATATATATATATAAACAAGCTTTATGGGTTGTTTGTATGTATGCATTTTAAAACCATGGTTTTATCAATATATATACATATTGATTATTAATTATAGAAATAATAAATTGATCTTACGTGTGATTATTTATATTTTTCAATAGTAATTTGCACATAAAAAAAGTAATTTTGATAACAAGCATCGAAATACTCTCAATTTTATTAAAATTACTTTTTTCACAAAATCTATTCTTTAAAATTTCTTTTATTACTCTTTTTTTCTTTCAAAAGCTATTCTCCAAAAACTAGTTTAAACACCCGCTTAAGCTTGTGCAAACGTGAGAGTTTAGGAGATTCGATGCAAAGTTTCAAATATTGGAAAAGTTATCTCTAGAGAATTAACATATAAAGTTAGAGGTTACGTATGATTTAGCCTATATATATAATTGGTCTTTTGACTCAGACAAATTTCATTTCATGAAGGAAATCAAAATTAAGGTGATTAATTAGAGTGGTTAGTTATACCTGTTTGAGGGGAAATCGTTTAGTGGAAGCAAAAGCGAGAGTGACGGCAGGATTGAAATGAGCACCAGAGATGTGACCAAGAGAATAGACAAGAGCCATGACGAGAAGACCCCAAACGATGGCAATCCCAGGAAGCGTTACGACGTTGTTGTTGTTAATGTTCACCACTATTGATGCACCCCCAATAAATATTAGAAAGTATGTCCCCACCAACTCTGCCACCATCTGTAATAATTAATTAATTTATAAGACACAAATCCAAAACAATCCAAAATCATATTAGAAGTTTTAATTAGTGGACTTTAAAGTTTGAGACTTTATTAAGAGAAGAGAGGAAGTGGAGGGACCTTCTGTAAGAAAGGGATAGAGACAAAGATGATGGAGCCTTCATTAGATTTGTCATTATTGACAGTAAGAACAACCTCGTGGGTTCCTTTAGTTCCAGAAGTCTCAGCCATCTCACCAATGATCGCAACAAAAAACTATTTTAGAGAGAGTGAGAGGTTTGAAATGGTGGGTCTAAGTTTGATAGAGGGTACGTAGTAGGGAACGCCAATTTATGGGCACTAAAGAGTCCATATATTTGGAGAAATTAAGCAAGATACTAAATTAAACTATTTATATTTATCATTTTTCTCTAAACTAATTTGTCTTACTTATAAATTGATATATAATTTGATGATTCACATAAGTATTTTAGAGAGATTATGTACTCTATACTTTGATTAAATAATTTGATAACTTTCTTAATCTTCTTTATTTGTTAACTGGATTTTACATCAAAAATCAAAGGTATTGCAAAGGGAATGATGAAATAGAGCGAAATGTTTTTACAGTATTTTCTCCTTTAAAATCATTAAAATAAATATAAAAAATTAATTTAGTTTGAACACTCTCAATATCATAACAAACAAGCACTATATTATATTACGTTCTATTTTCTAGCATCATCACATTCTATCGCATTCTCCTTGATCCATTGAACCAAACGGCTCTTAGTGATTTTCTTGAAATGAAAAGAGGAAATGGATTAATCAACTCCTTTAGTAGGAAAGACTAATCTCTTTCATATGCAAAAGATAAAGATTACTAGATTCTTTGTACTAGGTTTTCTCGACATATGATAAAAGTGGAAAACTCAACTATGCAATTGCACGAAAATTTTTATCATTTGCACTGATTTTATAATAAATTTAAATATTTAAAGTTGAATATTTCTTTTTTATTTAAAATTTATATATTTTTAAATGAGTAAAGTGGTTCTAAAAACTAAAGTTTTTTCACAAAAGAGAAAATTCTAAATAATTAACTTGTTTGGATCTCTTTAATCCAGGGAGAAAAAAACAGAGAGGATGAAAGCGCAACAGATAACTATATTTGTTCAAAACATACATTTGACAATCATGATTAATATTCTTTTTGGGCCTAAGCCATGAATCCATCATTAATATTTTTCAGATAAAGTGAATATCAGCAAGGTAAAAAATAGTAATAAATAAATGTTGTGCATTTTCTGAACAAGAGGAATCGACATTCCCTGCTCATGTCATCGGTGAGCGGGGAATGCTTATTTCCCAAACGGCAGCGTATGAGGATGAGATCCCATGTTTCCTTTTCTTCTTCTTCTTCTTCTTTTTTAAATTTTTCATTTTTTATTTTTTGTTTATTTGGGTTAAATTTTATGTGGCACTATAAAATGTATTTTCTTTTCTTCAAAAAAAAAAATTTCAGTAGTAGCACCCACCATCATAAGTTAATTAATTTATAATACATCTAGAGACTAGAGTATTTATTAGTAGCACCCACTATTATAAATTTATTAATTTTTAGTGCACTCAATGTATTTTTTTAGTTAGTCGGTGTTACTGAAAAAATATTTCAAAGTACTAGATAGCCTACAAATCAATTTAGAATATTAGGTGCTACTGAAAAAAACATTTCAGAATACTGTATACACTAAAAAATAATTAATTCTAGGTGCTGCTAGAAAAATATTTTGGGATTTTTTTTTTGGTATGTTATTTTGGGATGTTGGATGCACTAAAAATCAATAAATTTGTGATACGTAATGTTACTAAAAAAATAATTTTATGATACTGAATACACTAAAAAGTAAGCAATTTAGGATGCGAAATGTCACTAAAAAATTACAAATGATGGATACGACTTAATCAAAAAATATAAAAAAAGGATCCCCCCCAAAAAAAAAAAAACAACGGCAGCATTTGGGGTATAAGTAGGGCTGCACAACAAAGTCTGAAACCCGGTCAACCCGGTCCGACCCGAGGAAGTCCGGTCCGACCCGGTCCAAAAAAAACAGCCCGATCAAGAGACAGGACCAATCGGGTCAGACCAACAAACCGGGTAAGACTGGGTTGAGGACTCATATTTCAGACCATGTGGTCTAGCCCGGTCCAGGTAACCTCCTTTTTTTTTTTTTTTTAAAACATCTATATGTCATGGACTCATGGGATATATTAAATATGAGCCGAGCCCAACCCAACGAGCATTGACCAGCTGACTTGCGTTGCGATTCTGCTCTGCGTTCTGCTGCCCATGCTTTTCCGGTTTTCCCTTAATCCCTTTCACTTTCAGTTCACGGCTTTCACTCTCACTCTCTCAGTATATGCCCTAAGTCGGCCTAACATTCTCTGCTTTTCCCTTTCACGACCTGAGAAAGCCGCTCTCTTCAACCAGTAGCTATTGGATTGGGGGTCAAGGAGAGGAGCGAACCAAGCTTGAAATGGGAATCGAGAGGCACGAGACGGAGACAGTTAGGTCGCCAAAGCAGTGGCGATGAAGGCTGACAAGCACAATTGACTGAAACTGGAGTCTCACGAGGGATTTGGGAACTTATCCGGCCGGCCCTATCTTCAAGTCAGTCGATTCGAAAGTAGGTTCAGCTTCACTTCGCGATCATCTCCTCATTTCCTCGGTAGTCGTCTGCTTTTCTGTTTTCCCTTTTGAGCGTTCGTGATTATCTCCTCACTTCCTGAGTTCGCTGCGCTCCTGCTTCAACTTCAGCTCCTCGGCTAGCTTCTTCTCCAAAGATTGATTAGCTTGTTGTCCTTGGAAGGCTCATTCAAGACTTTGAGTAGCTTCTTCTTCTTGACTCTTTGCTTTTTATTCTTGCTTTTAATTTCCTACGGTTTATTCTGTGCACAGCAATTGTTTCATTTTGCTTCGTTTTTATCAGAAATTGGTCATTCTAAATTGTTTGATCGCTGATGCTGTTTCGGTGTTTCTGTCTTCATGGGTTTTGATTAGCGTATTAAACTGTTGATCTTTTTATGGCTTGATTTTATTTAGCAATTAACCGTTGGTTTAAACTGTTGATCTTCAACTTCACTCTCAGTATATTAAACTGTTTCTGTCTTCATGAGTTCACTGGTTTAAACTGTTGATTAGCAATTGTCTTTTGTAGTGTCTGCCTGTCTGGTGTTGCTGATTTTATTTAGATTTATATGCAAATATATGTGTGTGTGTGTGTGTGTGTCATGCATTCGTGATAACGAGAACTTGTGAATGGCTGAATGCTTCGTGAATGGCTGAACTTGTGTGTGTGTGTGTCATGCATTCGGTGTCAATTAGTGAATGGCTGAATGCTTCGTGATAACTTGTGAGGAGGGTCCTTTATTATTCATTATGGCTATGTCAACGAGAACTATAGTATATATTATGATTTGATTAATTAATGTATGATTTTTATTTTCATGTTAGAAATGGTTGATGAAACTTCAGCAGCTACTAGTCAACCCTCATTTGCACAAACACAATTAGTGGGCACTGGTGAAACTGAAATTAGCCCTCCTGCTGAATCAATTTCTCCCACTCCTCCTCCTTCTTCAGTAGCTGAACCTGTTTCTAACCTTGGACAAGATACTGCTGGAGAGAATGTGAGTAGAAAGAGAAAAGAGCCTGAGAAGAAATGCACAAAATCACAAGTTTGGGAGCATTTTGTAAATTACCTTTGGAAGAAACAAATGGAGAAGTTAAGGCTGCTTGTAGATATTGTCATGCAATTTATGCTTGTGACCCAAATAAGCATGGCACAACATCCTTGAAAAGGCACTTTCCAAAATGTCTCAAGAACCCAAATAGGGCTGACACAATACCAAAGCAATCAATGTTGAACTATGTGACTCCAAGTGGGCAAGCAAGGAGTTTAGTCCCTCATGTTTTCAATCAAAAACGATGTAGAAGGGCGCTGGCTGAATTTGTTATTTGTGATGAGATGCCATTTCGGATTGTTGAGAAGCATGGGTTTAGAAACTTTGTGAAAGAGCTAGAACCAAGATTTCGAATCCCTTCAAGAACAACAGTTGCTAGAGATTGTTGGCAACTATACCTTGGAGAAATTAAGATATTGAAGGAAATATTGAAGAAGTCTACACACCGTGTTTGCTTAACGACTGATTGCTGGACATCTGCTCAAAACTTCAATTATTTGTGCTTGACTTGCCATTTCATTGATCCTGATTGGAAGTTGCATAAGAGAATATTGAATTTTTGCATGATTGAAAATCACAGGGGTGATACAGTTGGCAAGACAATTGAGAAATGCCTCTTGGAATGGGGAATAGAAAAGGTTTTTACCATAACCATGGACAATGCATCAAGTAATGACTCCGCCTTGTCATATCTGAAAAAGCGGCTTAAGAATTGGAAGGGAATGATTTGTGGGGGTGATTACCTTCATCTTAGATGTTCTGCACATATACTTAATTTGGTGGTTAATGATGGCTTGAAGGAGTTGAAGAATAGCTTTGATTCAATTCGCAATGCAATTAAGTATGTTCGTTCTTCCCCAGCTCGTCTCCAAAAGTTCAAAAATATTGCTGAATTAGAGAAATTGGACACCACTAGCCTTGTTTGTCTTGATGTTAGTACTCGGTGGAATTCAACATATTTGATGTTGGAATCTGCTTTGAAATTTCAAAAGGCTTTTGAACGATTGGAAGATGAAGATGATGACTATGAGGCATATTTCACTAAAGGAGACATCTCTAGGCGTGAAGGCCCTCCTGAAGCTAATGATTGGAATAAGGCAAGAGTATTTCTCAAATTCTTGAAGGTGTTCTATGATATAACTTTGATGTTTTCAAGTTCACTAAATGTCACTTCTAACACTTGTTTCCACCAAATTGCCCTAATTCATGAGTTGTTGGAAGAGAACATTGTGAATGCTGATCCTTTGCTTTTGGAGATGTCCTTTAGCATGAGAAGTAAATATGAAAAATATTGGGGTCAAACAGAAAACATGAATCCTTTGCTCATTGTAGCTGTGATTTTAGATCCTCGGTATAAACTTGCTTATGTGTATCATATCTTTGAACAACTTTTTCATGATGGGGAAGTTTGCATGGCCATGAAAATTAAGACCAGAGATGTCTTGCACCGCATGTTTGATGAATATTCTGTTGGACAAACAAGCAATGGTTCTTCAAGCAATGCTGGT